GCTGGGACACCCCCCCCTCAATGCTGGGACCCCGGGCGCTGGGCGGGTCCCAGGCCCTTGTGCAAGGGCTGCTGCCGGTGCCGCCCGTGTCCCGACGCCCACGGAGCCCCGGGAGCCGCCCCGTGTCCCGGGGGGGCTGCCGTCGGGTTCCTGCATGGCAGGGGGGCCACTTTTCCCTGTTTATGCCACTTTTCCGTGCGTGTTCCAGGTGCTTTTGAGATCGAAATCAACGGGCAGCTGGTGTTCTCCAAGCTGGAGAACGGAGGCTTTCCCTACGAGAAGGACGTAAGTGCCGGCGTTGGCGGCAGCCGCGACCGGCCCTTCCCGCGGGGCCCGTCCCGCTTTGGCCGCCCGCAGCCCCCGCGCTGGGGCGTGGGGAGGGTCCGGCGGCGCCGCCGGGGCCGCCCGCTGAGCCGCCCTCCGCTGCGCCCCCAGCTCCTGGACGCCATCCGCCGGGCGCGCGCCGGGGAGCCGCTCCAGCCCATCACCAACAGCCGCCCGCCCTGCGCCATCCTCTAGCCGGAGCATCCCGCGGGACGTCCCGCGGCGCCGGGGCTCCGTCCCGCCGGCCCTCCCGTGCGGCTGCTCCACGGCAGCGCCGGAGCCTCCGGAGCAGCTCCCGGCCCCGCCGGCTGCACCCGTGTCCAGGGTATTAGTGCAGAGCAAAGGCGCCTTCCGCGGGCGCCGCCGCGGCCCCTGGAGCGCCAGGGCCCCCGTGTCCCCCCCGTGTCGCGGGGCTCCCCCGGCTCCGTCCCCGCGGATCCGGCGGGCCCCCGGCCCCATTCCCAGGCTGCCGCCCGTCGCGGCTCTGCCCCGGCGCCCTATTTATTCTATACTGTGTATAACGCCCCCGGCCCGGGGCTGAATAAAGGAGAGGGAAACGTGGCCCGTCTCCATCTGCGTCCCACGGGAAGGGGGATCGAGGTGTAAAAGGGGGGCTGGATTGTGCCCCGTTTCCCCACCCCCTGTCTCATCCAGACGGGTTTAAGGCTTTTTTCCTGCCCAGTCCCGTCCCTGGCAGGGCAGGGAAAGACGGAGGCGGTGGCAGAGCAGGCGGAACCAGACGGACGAGCAGTGTAGAAAAACAAATGTACAATTATCAAATATACATCCAGGCGAGACGCGGGAGGAGCCGGCGGGCGCCGCGGCCGCGTCTCAGTGCAAGTCTGTGGGTCCCGGGGGAGGCCCCGGGGCGGGAGCGACGGCCCGGAGCCCTCCCTGGGGACACGAGCGGCACCGGAGACGTCCCCGAGGGGCACCAGAGATGTCCCTGGGGCACGAGCGGCACTGGAGCCGTCCCCAAGACGCGAGCGGTACCGGAGCCATCCCCAGGACACAAGTGGTACCGGAGCCATCCCCAGGACATGCGCGGCACCGGCAGCACCCCGGGGCTCGGCTCGTTATCTCGCCACGCAGCCCAGCGGGGAAGCAGCGGGTGCAGGAAGCAGCAGCGAGGAGCAGAGCGGATCCGTGTGCTCCCGCTGCGCCTCTGCTCCGGGGGCTGCTCCCGGCGGCGGAGGCGGCTCTGGCTGCGGGCGGGAAGCTGCTCCAGCGCCCGGCTGCCTCCGGTGTCACCCGTCCTCGGGGCGCGGTGGCCGTGGCGGTCCCTGTGTCCCGGGGTACCCGGCTCCGGGTGGCCGCCCTGTTGCAGGGACCCCCGCGGGGTCTCCGGCACCGCGGGGCCGCGGCGCTCTAGACGGCGTCGGCGGGCTCGGCCAGGCCCAGGTACTCGGGGTTCTCGGCCGTGGGCGTCGCGCCGGGGCCGCCGGCTGCGGCGGGCTCCGCGTCCCAGTAATAGGGGTTGTCGAAGGCCTGGCTGAAGGGCCCGGCGGGCGCCAGGTACTCGGGGTTCTCCACGGCGCGGCCCGAGGCGCTGCCCGCCGCCGCCTCCTTCACCAGCCCGTTCTTGCCCTGGTGGCCCTTGGGCCGCTCCGGCGGCGGGGACGGCGGCGCGCGCGGCCGCTCCGCCTGGTTCACGTACTCTGCGGGGACACCGGGACGTGGCGGCGCGGCCC